GATAGGTTCCTGGGGACAGGTGTGTGAATGTATGATAGGTTCTTGGGGACAGGTGTGTGCATGTATGATAGGTTCCTGGGGACAGGTGTGTGAATGTATGATAGATTCCTGGGGACAGGTGTGTGAATGTATGATAGGTTCCTGGGGACAGGTGTGTGAATGTATGATAGGTTCCTGGGAACAGGTGTGTGAATGAATGATAGGTTCCTGGGAAAAGGTATATAAATGTATGATAGGTTCCTGGGGACAGGTGTGTGAATGTATGATAGGTTACTCAGGTCAGGTGTGTGAATGTGTGATAGGTTCCTGAGGACAGGTGTGTGAATGTGTGATAGGTTCCTGGTGCAGGTGTGTGAATGTATGACAGGTTCCAGGGGACAGGCATTTGAATGTGTGCTAGGTTCCTGGAGACAGGCATGTGAGTTTATGATAGGTTCCTGCGGACAATCATATGAATGTGTGATAGGTTTCTAGGAACAGGTGCGTGAACGTATGATAGGTTCCTGGGGACAGGTGTGTGAATGTATGATAGGTTCCTCAGGTCAGGTGTGTGAATGTGTGATAGGTTCCTGAGGACAGGTGTGTGAATGTGTGATAGGTTCCTGGTGCAGGTGTGTGAATGTATGATAGGTTCCTGGGGACAGGTGTGTGAATGTATGATAGGTTCCTGAGGACAGGTGTGTGAATGTGTGATAGGTTCCTGGTGCAGGTGTGTGAATGTATGACAGGTTCCAGGGAACAGGTATTTGAATGTGTGCTAGGTTCCTGGAGACAGGCATGTGAATGTATGATAGGTTCCTGCAGACAATCATATGAATGTGTGATAGGTTTCTAGGAACAGGTGTGTGAACATATGATAGGTTCCTGGGGACAGGTGTGTGAATGTATGATAGGTTACTCAGGTCAGGTGTGTGAATGTGTGATAGGTTCCTGAGGACAGGTGTGTGAATGTGTGATAGGTTCCTGGTGCAGGTGTGTGAATGTATGACAGGTTCCAGGGGACAGGGATTTGAATGTGTGCTAGGTTCCTGGAGACAGGCATGTGAATGTATGATAGGTTCCTGCGGACAATCATATGAATGTGTGATAGGTTTCTAGGAACAGGTGTGTGAACGTATGATAGGTTCCTGGGGACAGGTGTGTGAATGTATGATAGGTTCCTCAGGTCAGGTGTGTGAATGTGTGATAGGTTCCTGAGGACAGGTGTGTGAATGTGTGATAGGTTCCTGGTGCAGGTGTGTGAATGTATGATAGGTTCCTGGGGACAGGTGTGTGAATGTATGATAGGTTCCTGAGGACAGGTGTGTGAATGTGTGATAGGTTCCTGGTGCAGGTGTGTGAATATATGACAGGTTCCAGGGGACAGGCATTTGAATGTGTGCTAGGTTCCTGGAGACAGGCATGTGAATGTATGATAGGTTCCTGCGGACAATCATATGAATGTGTGATAGGTTTCTAGGAACAGGTGTGTGAACGTATCAAAGGTTCCTGGGGACAAGTGTGTGAATGTGTAATAGGTTCATGAGGCAGGTGTGTGAATGTGTGCTAGATTTCTGGGGACAGGTGTGTGAATGTATGATAGGTGCCTGGGGACAGGTTTGTGAATGTATGATAGGTGCCTGGGGACAGGTGTGTGAATGTATGATAGGTGCCTGGGGACAGGTGTGTGAATGTTTGATAGGTCCCTGGAGCAGTTATGTGAATGTATGATAGGTTCCTGGGGACAGGTGTGTGAATGTATGATAGGTTTCTGGGGACAGGTATATGAATGTATGATAGGTTTCTGGGGACAGGTGTGTGAATGTATGATAGGTGCCTGGGGACAGGTGTGTGAATGTATGATAGGTTCCTGAGGACAGGTGTGTGAATGTATGATAGGTTCCTGAGGACAGGTGTGTGAATGTATGATAGGTGCCTGGGGACAGGTGTGTGAATGTATGATAGGTTCCTGAGGACAGGTGTGTGAATGTATGATAGGTTCCTGGGGACAGGTGTGTGAATGTATGATAGGTTCCTGAGGACAGGTGTGTGAATGTATGATTGGTGCCTGGGGACAGGTGTGTGAATGTATGATAGGTTCCTGAGGACAGGTGTGTGAATGTATGATAGGTGCCTGGGGACAGGTGTGTGAATGTATGATAGGTTCCTGAGGACAGGTGTGTGAATGTATGATAGATTTCTGGGGACAGGTGTGTGAATGTATGATAGGTGCCTGGGGACAGGTGTGTGAATGTATGATAGGTGCCTGGGGACAGGTGTGTGAATGTATGATAGGTGCCTGGGGACAGGTGTGTGAATGTTTGATAGGTCCCTGGAGCAGTTATGTGAATGTATGATAGGTTCCTGGGGACAGGTGTGTGAATGTATGATAGGTTTCTGGGGACAGGTATATGAATGTATGATAGGTTTCTGGGGACAGGTGTGTGAATGTATGATAGGTGCCTGGGGACAGGTGTGTGAATGTATGATAGGTTCCTGAGGACAGGTGTGTGAATGTATGATAGATTTCTGGGGACAGGTGTGTGAATGTATGATAGGTGCCTGGGGACAGGTGTGTGAATGTATGATAGGTTCCTGAGGACAGGTGTGTGAATGTATGATAGGTTCCTGGGGACAGGTGTGTGAATGTATGATAGGTTTCTGGGGACAGGTGTGTGAATGTATGATAGGTTTCTGGGGACAGGTGTGTGAATGTATGATAGGTTTCTGGGGACAGGTATATGAATGTATGATAGGTTTCTGGGGACAGGTGTGTGAATGTATGATAGGTTCCTGAGGACAGGCATATAAATGTGATAGGTTCCTAGAAACAATCAAGTGATGAATTATGCAAGCCTTAAACAAATTTGATTTAAGTAGGTATGTTTGCATGTTGCCCCCAACATGGTTGCAAAGGGAAATAACTCTCACTCAAACTACATCAATGAAAAGCAATCTATAGTAAGATCAGTTAAGAAAAACCATGTAACTCAATAATAATATAAAAAAACACAGTGAATAGAATCCTCTAAACATATAGCTATAGACTATACAGCAAATTGATAAGATTTACATATCTAACTTGTCAAAATCAATCTCCACTGTATACAGAATAGTATCAAATAAAATCTGATTTTATTACAGACCTAATCTAATAAGATTCCCAGCTGACTTCACAAGTTACTTGATTAGCCTATTCTGTACATGGTATATACGTCTGCTAACAGTTTATATTTCTGACACCAATTCATTGTTGTCTCAGGGTTAAAGAGGCTGTACAATTTTTCAATTACTATATTGCCCAGGACAATTGGAAAATTGTCAAAGGCTCAACCTCTATAGTGAAAAAATGTATTCTGAATAATGTTTATAACTAAACTGGAGTTCAGGAAATAATTTCTTCTCTTTAAACATAAGAAATGTTTCAGCTACTAATTGACTACAACAGTCTTAACAATGACTTTCAAATAATTGGCTGAAACCAATGAAATGATTTTTGGTCATTTTCCTTGAACAATTCTATAGTCTAAATATTTAAATTCTTTAAATTTCCTTCTCTAGAAAAAAAAGGGATATACGAATATTTCCAAAAACAGAAAGCTTTTATAAAAGAGCGTACTGCCATGATTTTCAAGGTCAAAATGAACAAAACATCATCATCTGGTGTATGGTGTACTAATACTAGAAGTAAACTATAAATCTGGTTTTTGAGACTTTACTTTGATGCCATTTCTGAAATATGCTACACCCTTGATGCTTATATTAGGAATAAAAAAAATTGCATCCAGAAATAGCAATGTCTCAAATTATGTATATATATGAATTCATATTTATCTGATTACTCATATCTTAAATCAAAGGAAGGACAAGGTGTGATCATTTTTGGGGTATTTACGGTAAAAATTGGTAAAACTATTAAATAGTGAAAATCATTATTATTTTTTCCAAAGGATCCATGAAATTTGTTCAGATGATCCTGGATTCATCAATTTCATCTGGGTCCATTAAATTTTCAAAGTTAAGACCTTAATTATGGGAGCCAAAAGAACTTGTCAAAATTTTTTGCATGAAACTTTTTTTATAGTACTTATTGTTCAAGAACAAATGTGCCTTTTCAATTTTACCCGCTATTTAAATTAAAATTTGCATTTCTCTTTATAAGAAAGTCAAAGCTCTGCACAGATCATGATCAGAATACAAAATCCAATACAATCTTCAAATATTTTGTGTCACAAACTCTTTAACATAGAATGGAGAATTTCATAAGAATAGGGAATACATACAATGAACTTAACTCCAAAGTATTCAAAAATCAATGTCCATTTACACTGCAGCTTTGGAGAAGAGATCTTTAAGGGCATATATATATACAGTTACAAGGGAGGTAATGACATTGCGAATGTAAAATTAAATTTATTTTCGCAACATCAAACTGTGAAATATCCGCAAAAGATGCATGTTTCAACTGATTTTAATCATTACCTCAAAAACGAGAATGTGAACTCCACACAGATCTATATACAAATCACTTTGAAAGATTCTCAAGCAAGTTGTACAGTCATACCTACTCACCTGTCATTGTAATAATCCAAAAACTAAGCTGTAGTCACACCCACCCACCTGTCATTGTGAGCACCAACCAGGATGCCACACAGTTACATCTCCTCACCTGTCATTGTGAGAACCCGCATGTATGACATATAGTTACACTAACTCATCTAACATTGTGAAAGACCTAACAAGTAAACCACACAGTCACACCTGCTCACCTGTCATTGTAAAAGCTTACACAAGTAAATCACACAGTCACAACCACTCCCCTGATAATGTAAAAGATCCCACAAGTAAGCCAAACAGTCACATCCACTAACCTGTCATTGTGGAAGAGCACACAAGTAAGTCACACAGTCACACCCACTCCCCTGTCATTGTGGAAGAGCCCACAGGTAAGTCACACATTCACAACCATGGCACCCACCAGGCATTGTGAAAGAGCCCATTAGTAAGTCACACCCACTTACCTGTCATTGTAAAAGATCCCACAAGTGAAGCCACACAGTCACATCCACTCACCTGTCATTGTAAAAGATCCTACAAGTGAAGCCACACAGTCACATCCACTCACCTGTCATTGTAAAAGATCCCACAAGTGAAGCCACACAGTCACATCCACTCACCTGTCATTGTAAAAGATCCCACAAGTAAGCCACACAGTCACATCCACTCACCTGTCATTGTAAAAGATCCCACAAGTAAGCCACACAGTCACATCTACACACCTGTCATTGTAAAAGATCCCACAAGTAAGCCACACTGTCACATCCACTCACCTGTCATTGTAAATGATCCCACAAGTAAGCCACAGTCACATCCACCCATCTGTCATTGTAAAAGATCCCACAAGAAAGCCACACTGTCACATCCACTCACCTGTCATTGTAAATGATCCCACAAGTAAGCCACACAGTCACATCCACTCACCTGTCATTGTGAATGATCTTGTAAGTGAACCACACAGTCACACCTAGTCATCTGTCATTGTAAATGATCTTATAAGTAAACCACACAGTCACACCCAGTCATCTGGCATTGTAAATGATCCTATTGGTAGACCACACATTCACACCTACTCACCTGTCACCTCACCTGTCACTGTAAAAGATCCCACAAGTATGCCACACAGTTAAATCCACTAACCTGTCATTGTAAAAGATTCCACAAGTAAAACACACAGTCACATCCACTCACCTGTCATTGTAAAAGATCCCACAAGTAAGCCACACAGTCACATCCACTCACCTGTCATTGTAAATGATCCCACAAGTAAGCCACATAGTCACATCCACTCACCTGTCATTGTAAATGATCTTGTAAGTGAACCACACAGTCGCACCCAGTCATCTGTCATTGTAAATGATCTTATTAGTAAACCACACAGTCACACCCAGTCATCTGGCATTGTAAATGATCCTATTGGTAGACCACACATTCACACCTACTCACCTGTCACCTCACCTGTCACTGTAAAAGATCCCACAAGTATGCCACACAGTCAAATCCACTAACCTGTCATTGTAAAAGATTCCACAAGTAAGGCATACAGTCACATCCACTCACCTGTCATTGCAAAAGATCCCACAAGTAAAACACACAGTCACATCCACTCACCTGTCATTGTAAAAGATCCCACAAGTAAGCCACACAGTCACATCCACTCACCTGTCATTGTAAATGATCCCACAAGTAAGCCACACAGTCACATCCACTCACCTGTCATTGTAAATGATCTTGTAAGTGAACCACACAGTCGCACCCAGTCATCTGTCATTGTAAATGATCTTATAAATAAACCACACAGTCACACCCAGTCATCTGGCATTGTAAATGATCCTATTGGTAGACCACACATTCACACCTACTCATCTGTCACCTCACCTGTCACTGTAAAAGATTCCCACAAGTATGCCAAACAGTCAAATCCACTAACCTGTCATTGTAAAAGATTCCACAAGTGAAGCCACACAGTCACATCCACTCACCTGTCATTGTAAAAGATCCCACAAGTAAGCCACACAGTCACATCCACTCACCTGTCATTGTAAAAGATCCCACAAGTAAGCCACATAGTCACATCCACTCACCTGTCATTGTAAAAAATCCCACAAGTAAGCCACACTGTCACATCCACTCACCTGTCATTGTAAATGATCCCACAAGTAAGCCACACAGTCACATCCACTCATTTGTCATTGTAAAAGATCCCACAAGTAAGCCACACAGTCACATCCACTCACCTGTCATTGTAAATGATCCCACAAGTAAGCCACACAGTCACATCCACTCATCTGTCATTGTAAATGATCTTGTAAGTGAACCACACAGTCGCACCCAGTCATCTGTCATTGTAAATGATCTTCTAAGTAAACCACACAGTCACACCCAGTCATCTGGCATTGTAAATGATCCTATTGGTAGACCACACATTCACACCTACTCACCTGTCACCTCACCTGTCACTGTAAAAGATCCCACAAGTATGCCACACAGTTAAATCCACGAGTATGTCACACAGTCAAATCCACTAACCTGTCATTGTAAAAGATTCCACAAGTACGGCATACAGTCACATCCACTCACCTGTCATTGTAAAAGATCCCACAAGTAAAACACACAGTCACATCCACTCACCTGTCATTGTAAAAGATCCCACAAGTAAGCCACACAGTCACATCCACTCACCTGTCATTGTAAATGATCCCACAAGTAAACCACATAGTCACATCCACTCACCTGTCATTGTAAATGATCTTGTAAGTGAACCACACAGTTGCACCCAGTCATCTGTCATTGTAAATGATCTTATAAGTAAACCACACAGTCACACCCAGTCATCTGGCATTGTAAATGATCCTATTGGTAGACCACACATTCACACCTACTCACCTGTCACCTCACCTGTCACTGTAAAAGATCCCACAAGTATGCCACACAGTTAAATCCACTAACCTGTCATTGTAAAAGATTCCACAAGTAAAACACACAGTCACATCCACTCACCTGTCATTGTAAAAGATCCCACAAGTAAGCCACACAGTCACATCCACTCACCTGTCATTGTAAATGATCCCACAAGTAAGCCACATAGTCACATCCACTCACCTGTCATTGTAAATGATCTTGTAAGTGAACCACACAGTCGCACCCAGTCATCTGTCATTGTAAATGATCTTATTAGTAAACCACACAGTCACACCCAGTCATCTGGCATTGTAAATGATCCTATTGGTAGACCACACATTCACACCTACTCACCTGTCACCTCACCTGTCACTGTAAAAGATCCCACAAGTATGCCACACAGTCAAATCCACTAACCTGTCATTGTAAAAGATTCCACAAGTAAGGCATACAGTCACATCCACTCACCTGTCATTGTAAAAGATCCCACAAGTAAAACACACAGTCACATTCACTCACCTGTCATTGTAAAAGATCCCACAAGTAAGCCACACAGTCACATCCACTCACCTGTCATTGTAAAAGATCCCACAAGTAAGCCACACAGTCACATCCACTCACCTGTCATTGTAAATGATCTTGTAAGTGAACCACACAGTCGCACCCAGTCATCTGTCATTGTAAATGATCTTATAAGTAAACCACACAGTCACACCCAGTCATCTGGCATTGTAAATGATCCTATTGGTAAACCACACATTCACACCTACTCTTCTGTCACTGTAAAAGATCCCACAAGTATGCCACACAGTCAAATCCACTAACCTGTCATTGTAAAAGATTCCACAAGTAAGGCATACAGTCACATCCACTCACCTGTCATTGTAAAAGATCCCACAAGTAAAACACACAGTCACATCCACTCACCTGTCATTGTAAAAGATCCTATAAGTAAAGCACAAAGTCACACCTAGTCATCTGTCATTGTAAATGATCCCACAAGTAAGCCACATAGTCACATCCACTCACCTGTCATTGTAAATGATCTTGTAAGTGAACCACACAGTCGCACCCAGTCATCTGTCATTGTAAATGATCTTATTAGTAAACCACACAGTCACACCCAGTCATCTGGCATTGTAAATGATCCTATTGGTAGACCACACATTCACACCTACTCACCTGTCACCTCACCTGTCACTGTAAAAGATCCCACAAGTATGCCACACAGTCAAATTCACTAACCCGTCATTGTAAAAGATCCCACAGGTAAGCCACACAGTCACACTCACTCACCTGTCATTGTAAATGATCCCACTAGTAAACCAATATTTCTGCCAGCCAACATGACATCTTCACTCTCCAGAGTGTTTTCCCCAGAAGTTTTCTTCTTTTTCCTTGCAGCCCATAATCCCACAAGTAGAATTAGGACATAGAAAAGAATGACTGAGATCAATCCAGAAATATTTACAGCCATTCTTTTTTATTTAGTAATCTGAAAAAGGTAATTATTAAAATGAAGGATATATTTCAAGTTAATTGTATGATGAAATATTTCACAAAAATAATAGTTTAGCCTCGCTGTACATGCTGTATGAGTCTAGCTTAATGCAATAAAAATTGGTTCATTTGAAGATGGATTGTACTATTTGAGCACGAACTTCGTTCACTTCAAGAGCACCAGAGTTCACCACTGAGATTTTGCAGAGTTTTCTCTTGACCTTTGTTTTTTTTTTATCGCCACCTTGGTATTTCTATTTCCAAAGAATAAATTCAGAAACATATATAACAAGATAAAATAAATAAATTTGGTGTATTTACTGTCTTCTGATTGGTTAAAAATATTACCTTTATTTTCAGTGTTGTCAATTTTTATAGCGACACGCCCACTCTAACGTGTGTATTCATACGCCAACATGTGTGTACGTTGTTATTGTTAATATAAATAATATAAAAAGCTCTTTGAGCCTTATTTTTGATAGAAATTTATTTATAATGAATGACAATAATTTATTTTGAATTTATTGAACCATAAAATTAATTTTTGACTCTTCACATTTTACATAATCCGCTTCGCGGATTATTCAATGTGAAGAGTCAAAAATTAATTTTATGGTTCAATAAATTCACGGATTATTCAATGTGAAGAGTCAAAAATTAATTTTATGGTTCAATAAATTCAAAATAAATAATAGTCATTAATTAAATGGAGGAATCCATCAAAGGTAAATAAAATTCTTCTTTATCATTTAATGTAGGTATACTAATTATAATGGGTATGTTCATGTATGATGACAAGAAATAACAAATAGTGTCAGAGTTTTATCAAATCTACCTATTTGTAGAAAATTTGTCTATCAATTAATTGTATAATGTGAGGCAAATTGTAATTAATGACTTGTTTTTCTAGTGCATACTTATTTATATAGAATAACTTGCCCCTAATGTGTAGATATAGAATAAAAATACCAATTGTTCTCGTCATTTTGCAACCCAGTTTTTTAAACTTTCATGGTCAAATAGGTTAGTTTTTTTAAATACAAATAATTTTAGTGAATATAAAATAAGAAGATGTAGTATGAT